GAGAAAAATTTATACAATAAAAACAAGACAGAAGAAAAAAGAAAAATCATAAAGGTTATGAAAAACTTAAGAACTCTCATCAATGCAATGACCAGCCTGAAGACTCATGATGAACCACACTACTCAAACACCTAACAGAGAGGTGATGAACTGAAGGTGAAGAATTGAGACACATTTTTGGATATGACCAACTGCTGGGATTTGTTTTACCTGTCTATCTTCAATACTAAGGTTTGGTTTTTCTGTCATGGAGAGGGAGTTGAGGGGTAAGAAGGAAGGGACTAGATAGGATTAATAAAGTGGCAAAAAGGAAGAAAAAAATGGAAGCATCTAAAAAATATACGGAAGAGACGAGGTGAGTAGGAGAAACAAACAAGCAAATGAGTATTTCTATAGTCTAAGTAGAACAGAAAAGAGTATTAATACATGAAGCTATAAATCTTTATTACATAAAACTTGCTTTTCTTTAAGTGCATAATAAATTCAATGTGTTATTTTCAAGACAGTCCTGCTTGTTTGTTAAGTTCAGAATAAAAAAAAGAAAGCCAAAAGAGTGAAAAGGAAGCTAGTTCAGAGTTAAGAAGACTTTAGTTAATTCTATCTCTGATTTGAGCTTCTAGTGTGATCCTGGGCATGCATATCATATACCTTATCAGTCAGTATTCCAGAGAACTCTTAATAAAAGGATTTGTTCTGTAAAACTTGGACTCAGTCAAAGGGCAGCACTTGAGGACCTAGAGGGCCACATGTGCCTCAAGGCCTCAGGTTCCCCACCCCTGTCCATAGGCGCTACAAATTGCTTTGGGTTACTCCTGGGGCACAACTTAACACAAACAAATGAAAACACAGAAATCCTTTTCAAATGAAAAATATTACAAAATTGCTGTGAATAGACAGTTCATTGGATTCAAACTCTCTCTAGTTCATGGGGCTAAGTTTTGGAAGAGATGATTAACTGCTTCTTAGGTGGCAGCAAACAGCTGATGATTTCCTCCATTCAGCAGTCAGCTACCTCTAAGCAAGTTTAGGCAAATATTTATTGGCCCCTTGCCCACAGTCATTAGAGGGCATACAACTCCTCTTTGATACAGGTTTTAAACTGTAGACAAATAGCAACTAAAATATATTCTTTTCAGTGGTTAAATGCTCTTGAGTAAACATTCCTCTGTAATACCCGATGGCTGGATTTGAAAAATATTGGCATTCTTACACTACTACAACATAAGGAAAGATAAATAGTCTGCTACTCATTAGGGTCAAAAGTGAGGAGGAAATGCTTCTCCCTGCACTGGTAGATTTTTCCAAAATTATCTGACCTAACGTCTTATAAGGTAAGTTTTCTTACCATTAAACAATGCTCTCATTGTGACAGATCCAGACAAGAGTGGGGGGGGAGGAGTTCCATTTTGGTCCTGAAAACCTCGAGTTTTTATCATATTAAATACAGAAACAGCCTATTTTAAGGTCAGGATTCTGATGACTTCAAGCTTCGAATCTGGAAATAAGTAGGGGCACAAGGCTTTAAGAAGCCAAGACAGGCAGTATAAAACTTATGCACTTTAAAACTCTTTAGGTCTAAAACTCTTAAGGTTTAAAACTCTTTAAAATTCAGGATCTCATAGGTTATAATTTCATGTGTAGTTCTAACAAGCTTGATGGTTTTGCTTTTCTAGAAACAAATAACTGGAAACAAAAGTAAAAGGAAATAGATATACTCAATGAGAAAGGAGACACAAAAATTAAAAGGGAGAGAGAATGAGCAAAGCATAGCAGTTTGGGACCACGTAGTATACCAGTAAGAGGTCTTTTCCCCCATGCATGCTGGTACCTCCTGAGGGTAACAACATATTATGGCATAATAAAATGAAGGATACATTATTTTATTATGCAATTTTATTAAGCAATGAACCACAGACATGATAAAATTAGATTCAGTCTATTGTGTTTCAGATAGCAAGGAAATATATAACACATTTTGAAAGAATTTAATAAAAATTGGTGGTAAAAAAAAGTTTAGGTTGTGTTAGCTATTTGAAAAATTCACTTACATGTAATGACAGTGCCTGATAAATGAAGTGATATATAATAAATTATTTTTAAAAGCAGATTATTCTTTTAGGAGAAATGTATTCAGTTCTTTTATTTTTGGAGAAAACATTCTAGCAAGATAGGAAAATGGTATATGATAATGTAGAAAAGATTGAGTATCAAATGTAAAGAAACTCATTAAGATTCAAAGTCTACATATTTAAGAAAAATAGTTTTTTAAAGATAAATTTAGGTTCATTTACCAAAATTATTTTTCTAAAAGAAATATAGGAGTGATATATTATTCATTTGACTAAATTTCTATTTTTCTCACTTGCAAAAAGTGAATAATCTTTAGCCAAGAGCATGAACATGCTAAGCTCATACATGACTCAAACAATTCCCTTGTCACATTATTTCAAAAAGAAAGTTGGAACAAGAGGAACAGAGACAAAAACACTTCATTTAGTTTACTCTCCATACTCTACACATTTGTGTATCGACATCCAAGGCCATAAGTATTACTGCCTCTCCTGTGAATTGCTGGTTTCTTCTACTCTAATTACTCTTATGTTATACCCAGTTGAACAGCTCTAAGTAAGCAGTTTGCTCCCTCCCTCTCCACCCTCTTCTTATTTTTACTATTAAAACTAAGTCTTTTCAGAATCATATTCTTCCCATCAGCTGGTACTGGCCCTGGAGCCGGAGGACCTGGGTTCAATCCTGCTTGTGTGACACTGAGCAAACCCCTTAACTTTCCACTTAGTTTCACATCTGTAAAACAAAGGAGTTGGATTAGATGATCTCTCAGATTCCTTCTACCTCTGGATCTATGATCCTGTGTCCTCTCAACTGGGAAGGGATGTCTGCAATCATTCTACAAAAGCTATTGCCATCGTTTCCTCCCATGTATCTTGATTAACATGTACCTGAACTCTTTACTGAAAGGTAGCTTTTCCACCACTAGGATACCATCTCTAGGTCTGTTACCAGAAGACTTACACAATTTAAAAAGTTTATACTAAAGAATTGGTTACTGTTTTATAGCTCTCCAATGAGTGAGAAATTCTCTGAAAGTCAATGAACAAGTTGTGGTATATGACTGTGATGGAATACAATCATGCTGTAAGAAATGATAAGCTTGATGATCTTAGAAAAATACGGATAGACTTGCATGAAATAATAATGAGTGAAATGTGAAGAACCAAGAGAACATTATATATAGTACCAGCTATATTTTTTAAGAACAACTTTGAGCAAATAAGTCATTTTGACTATTAAAAATACCCAAATTAATGACAAAGGACTTAGAAAGGAAGATGCTACCTGCATCCAGAGAAAGAGCTGAAAAATAGAAATATGTATTGAATGATTTTACATATATATGTGTATATGTATATATGTACATATGTTTGTGTCTAATGGTAGCCATCTCTAGGGTGCGGGGGTAAGGAAAAAGGAAAAAAAAAGAAATTTACATGATAACTTTATCATATATTTAAAAGAAATAGCAAGTCACAAGATTTGCAGTTTTATGTGCATCTTTTATTACACTATATTATGGAAATGCTTGGTTTATTCCATTAACTAAAAATTAAAAGAATAAAAATTAAAAAAAAACAAACAAACAAACAGAAAGCTTATGTAATAAGCCTATTTGTTCCTATAGAATCTTTGGTCGGCTACTGAACAGCTGCTCCTTTGAATTCACAATCAACTTAAAAAACAAAGATAGTAAATGAAGAGAAGAAATGCTGGGTTAGTCTTGACTTTTTAAAATGCTTTTCAATAGAAGATCATCATTACCACCAATAATAGACATTTACTGAATGCCTGGAAATAGCTATTTTGTGGTACTATGATGGGATTGAGTTATGATCATGCATTAATGAACATGAAACAACACTGGTTAGGCAGAATCTGAGGCTTGGTATATCTGTATATTTCTTTATTCTACAGTATGTAGGACAAATACAAGCTCTTTAAACTGATCATCTGCAATGTTTCCAATATACCTTTCTGTTATTTCACATTAATTTCATTTAGATACTCTATATTGTAATCAAACAACAATTAGCTTTTCCCTTATCTCCTTCTGATATCTTCTTCATCGGTACATCTGTATAGGCCATCCTCTATGCCTGGAATATACCTCCTTCTCATATCTTTGTTGAGAATCCTTTTCTTCCTACAAGGTTCACCTTAAAAGATTATGGATTTAACAGCTAAAAAAGACCTCAGTGATCAGCTAGTCCACGTTCCCTTATTGTACAGATGAGGAAACTGAGGCTCAAAGATATTAAATGATTTGGTAAAGGTCACACTCACAATAAAAGACAGAGCTGGGATTCAAAACCAGATCCTCTTGACTCTAAATTTGGTGCTATTTTCACTATCACTCTGACACCTCCATCAATCAGGTAGGCATCTATCTATCATGTGCCATGAAGACTTCCACGATCCCCCCTGCTAAAAGTGTATTTTTCCTCCTCCTGCATTTCCACAGTGCCTTATCTAGATGTCTCCTGTTACATACAACCTAGTATCATACTAATATTATAGCCTACCTACCCACTGTTAGAATGTGAACTCTGAAATTGTTACATTTTTCATCTTTTTCCCCCCTTGCTTAGAAGAGGGCCATGCATAGGACTAGGTGATTGTTAAATGTAAGTGGACTGAATAAGTAGCATTCCAATTAACAATTTAAAACTGCCATATCTTAATAGAAAAAAAAAGTTTCTGTCATTATGTGTGATCATTACCCTATTTAAGCATTTTTTTTTTCCCTCTCCAATCTTAATTCTGGTCTTCTTCTAAGGACTGTTGTTTCTATTCTGGTAATAATATCATATGAGACAATTTCTGAATAATAAATTTTGCTGTTGCAACTATTTTACTTTGAATTAGATTTACAAAATTAGGAAGCACAATTTAAAAACGAGCAACACTTATTAGAAAGAAATACTTACCAAGCGTTCGGAACAGTCTCTTATTTGGTTGATGGGAGAAGAAACCAGGCTTCAAAGCATTTGAAATCACAATATCAAAAATATCTGTAAAATCATTCCTATATGACAATGAAAAGGAGTGAAATTTCCAATGAATGTACTGAAAATAACTGGATGAAGTCTATAAGCTATTAAAAAATAACAACAACCCTGAACTTCCATTATTTGTTCAATGTGCCCCTGTAGCACTAGGGAAGGAGGAGTATATTTATCCATTTTGGGGGGAGAGTAACAGTGGCAACTAAAAGCAAACAGACTGTAGCTCACTCGACAACACTAAAGTACCACGAAAAGAGAAACATTTTCTTTCTTTCTCACCATGAAATCCTATGCAGTGACAACTACTGGATAACACACGGCCCTTCAATGTTTACAAAGCACTTCTCTGACAGCAACCCTTTGAAGTATAATTAGTCTCACCTTACAAAGAGAAAACTGAGCAAATGGTTCACCCCAGATGAACCGAGCAGTAAATGACAATACTATCCCTGCTACATCAATATCTTGTTGAGTCGTGATCTAGCGGAATTTCAACATGAGGAATTCAGTAAAATTCAATAAGCATTTGTTAAGCATCTAATATGAGCTAGGTACCAGGGACACAAAGACAAACAAAAAAAAAACTGGCCTTAAGGAGCTTGCATCTCCGAAAAATGTGAACAGAGGCTACTGGGAAGGAGAATAGGCTAGGCTTTCAAAGACCAGGTCAAAAAGAAAAAAACAAATGCGCAGCTTAAGAAACCACAGAATAATATCTTCAAATAACCAAATAATCAATCATTGCACAACTACTTATGAGGTGCCTGTTGCTGTGCTAGGCGATGTAAAATACCTATAAACTAAAGGGTGCCACATTAGTACAGTTAAATTAGCCAAGATAGCATCTCCATTGTGCTGCCTATCAAGTTAGTGATCTTAACTATGAGGTTTAGGCCTGAGTATGGATATTCAAGTTTGGAAAACACTGAAGACATATGGCTCTTTTCTAGTATAATGGACATTTTAGAATGAAGATCTAATAATGACAGTCAAACGTTTAAGACAGACTGTTATATTGCTTGCTTTCTCAACAGGTGAGGGAGGGCCTGGAAAGGAAAAAAAAAAAGAATCTTTAAAAAAAAGAACACTAAAAATAATAAATAAATAGAAATAAAGACAGAATGTTACTAATCTGCTATTCTTTTCCTACTTTTCTCTTCTTTTCTTTGCTTCCTTCCTTCCTAGATTTATGATTTCATTACTGTTCAATGAATTTGGAGGAATTTCCCCTACCAATGCTGATCAAGCTAAACAATTTTCTCTGATTCCTACCTATATGTATCTGTTGTATTTCTACCAATTCCAATTTCTTTCCTAGTTCCATCTACTTCCTGTCCTGTTTTCTGATTCCTAATATGCCTCTGCTCTCACTGTTTCTATTATCATTTATGCTGGTATTTTGCTCTGCTGTTTAAGAAGCAAGTGTATCACAGATGGAAAATTTAGGGAACTCGTGAGAACAGGAGCACATGAAGTAAAATTAAACATATAGAATTACAGGCCATACAACATTTCAAAATAGAAAATTCTAGAATGTATTATTAAAGGGATGGCAATGTAAACATGTAGAAAGGGAAGTGGTGATCATAAAGGATAGGTCACCCAGATATTCTCATTCCCAATTTAGAATGTTAGGGTTTCTAACACATGGGTTAGATGTTGGTAATTAGGTGGAATCAGAAATAGTTGAATAAATAAACCCTACAAGCTAATATCTAGGTGGAGGGATGTCTCTAGTGAATTGCCCCCAAGCTTTCCTCTGGCCTTGTACTGTTAAAAATTTTTCCCTGTTGTTGGTGAGGCTGAAGCTAGCGAATTGCTTGAGTCTGAAAGTTCTGAGTTGCAACAGGATTTAAACTGATCAGGTGTCCACACTAAATCCAGCACCAATATAGCAAGCCCCCCAGAAACAGACGGCTACCACATTGCTTAAAAAGGGGCAAATTATCAGGGGCAGCTAGGTGGTGCAGTGGACAGAGCACCAGCCCTGGAGTCGGGAGGACCTGAGTTCAAATCCGGCCTCAGTTACTTGACACTAGCTGTGTGACCCTAGGCAAGTCACTTAACCCCAACTGACTCACAAGAAAAGAAAAGAAGGAGTTGGGGGGGTGAGCAGCAAATCAACTTGTGTTAGGAAAAGTTTCCTGCTAGGCTGGGAGAGATAACAAGACCCAGTATCACATTATATATGTATGCATGTATATAAATGCATGTTTATGCACACATTGCATATATATATGTGTATGCATTTTTGCATATATATGTATTTATATACATATTTATATATGTACACACACACACACACACACACACACACACACACACACACTCTACCCATTTTTTCCCACTTTTGCGATCAATATTAAGGAATTGGTGTTATGCTGACCAAACCTGCAGATAACATGAGGCTGAGAAGGATAGCTAAAAAGTTGAATGTCAGATCAGAAACCAGAAAGATCATGAGGAAAAGAAGAAAGGATCACATCTAATACTATTAAACTGAAGAGGAATAAATGTATAATTTTATACTTAGTTTCAAATAGTCAACTTTATAAGTACAGACTTGAATGGAAAAGATTGGGAGTCTTAGTGGATTTAATTATGAATGAGCAGTGTTACATGGCTGCCAAAATGGCGGTCAAACTAATTAAGCCAAGAGAAAAGTGATAATCCTGCACCTTGATAAAAACATATTTAGATTACTGTGTCCAATTCTGGATGCCACATTCTAGGTAGGACAATGATACAGAATGTTCAGGAAGGAGACAAAGGTGGGTGAAGATGACCATATGAAGTCATAGAAGGGTCAATTAGAAGAACTGCGGTTATTTACGTGGAAGAGAAAGATCTAGAGGGACATGATCACTAGCTTGACTTTTCTGAAGGGATATCATAAGAAAGGGGGGGCTAGATTTATTCTGCATGACCTCAAAGAGGAGTACGAGGAAGAATAGATGAGTGAAAGTTACAGAAAGGAAGATTTATGCTTGACATAAGAAATAAGACATAACAATCAGGACTGTAGAAAAATGGTTGTAGGTTTTCAAATGGAGGCCACATAACCCCTTGTTGATGATGTTAGATTTGTGGTCAGATACAGGGTATACTAGCTGTCACTGAGGTTCTTTTCAAGACTGAGATAATGTATAAAGGAAGGAAGATCTGACATAGTCAATACTTACCCAATAATGTACTCACAGAGAAGTCTGCAGTAGTCACTGTGTGAATTTGTCATAATAAAGAGAAACTTTCCAGCATTCTTCAGCTGATAAAGCCACTTTTTCACAGATTGTGAACAAATCATCAAATATCTTCCTGGATCACTTATAATTTCTGGGAAATACAATCCAGAGTTTTCTGAAATAAATAAAAAAAGTTGCAAATTGCAATTAAATTTTTGAGGTTATCTTTAAAAAACCTCAATCATGTTTTTAAACAATTCTGAAATCTTATTTATTTTAAATATGTATGAAAACTTACATATTAAGATAATTTAAAAGTATACAGAAAGGTATCTGAAGCGTCATAAGCCAGCATTACTAACATTTTCTCCAGCTGTCCCCCATGCCTGGAATCCTCTGCCTCCTCATCTCTACCTCTTGTCTTCTTTCAAATCCCAATTAAAATCCCATTTTTTTTTTTACAGAAAACTTTTCCCAACCCTTCTAGATCTGTTAATTATTTCCTATTTTTCCTGTATCTTGCTTTGTGTGTGTTTATTTACATACTGTCTCCCCTATTTGATTGTTAAGCTCCATGAGGGCAGGATCTGTCTTTTGCCTCTTTTTGTAACCCCAACCCTTAGCACAGTGCCTTGAACATAGCAGATGCTTAATAAATGTTTACTCATTGATTGATTTTTACATAAAAGATTTACTGGGTAAAACTCATTCTCAGGCAGGATGGCTTGGTGGGTGGAGAGGTGACCTCTAGATCAGCAAAACTTGGGTTTAACTTTACACACTGGCTGTGTGAGTGCTATGCAAGTAAGTCATTTAACCACTTCAAAAGTTTTTTACTCAGAGCTCTCTCTACTAATGAAATCACAGATCCAGTTCTTATTCCAATTTTTCCTATGGGATTCCTTTCCAAAAGTGAAGTGGATTTGAGGGGTGAAAGGGTTAGCTACCTAAGTGCTTCCTCAGGCTATGACTAACAAAGGACTTAGACCTCAAAGAATGGTATAACTCTATTAGCCTGAGAGTACTCTCGAAGACTACATATACCTGAGTGCCTTTCACTTCTTAAGTCCCAGTTACAAACTTCCATAAATACCAGATCAGAAAAAAAACCCAAACAAACTTAAACAGAAAATCTAAATTCAACAATGAGTATAACATGTGTCACCATGAGATCATCAACAGACCAAAAAAAAAAAAATCCCTTGTAGCATTCTTTTCTCTGTGGACATCTGTGGTTAGTTCTTTGACTCAGTAAATCCCAGACATGATTTAGAGTCATGGTATGTCTCAATGGCCAGTACAACATGGTTTTACTTAAAAATAAAGTGAAAATTCTATTTCCTTTAATTTCTCCAAGAAAAGAGAGAAGATTAAATGGGAAAAGAAGCAACAAGAAGGATTAGTGTTCACGGAAAAAAAAACCATAAAGGAAAACAAAGGTAGATGATATGGTAAAACTACTATGTCGTACTGAAGGGTACTTGGGGATATTCTTGTCTCCCTAACTATTCAAAACTTGTAACCTCTTAAGGCCAAAGATAGGGTGGGATGGGGTATTATATGTAATAGAAAGATAAATACTCCAATTAGACTATTTTATCTGGAAGATATATTAAGTACAGCATTTATGAGAGAGAAGATGTACAAACAATGTATGAAATGCTTAACAGAGAAACTTTATATTCATTTGTACAGTATCAGTACATCAATCTTTGGAGAGCTACCCACTTTCTCATCCTGCCAATGTGTATTTAGTGCCACCTAGTGATGCTATGCATAAATTTCACGTTGAAAAAGTGGAGAATAGTCATCTGTGAAGTTTTTCATGTATATAAAAAAAAGTCATTCAGATTAACATTCTATATTTTTTTAAACTTCTGTGATATTCACTGGTTCTCTTTAATACACTTAGAGGGATGGATTCAATTGTGCCAGTCTATTCATGGTAAAATAAGAATGAATCTCCAAATGTTACTTACTCCATCCATTTGCCCAGTTTTTCATCATTAATTAGATTATTTTCAAACAGGTTAGTGCAATATTGTCATTATCAAGGTGATATATCTCCAATCTATCTCGCACCTACTCTACTAACCTACCTAACGCAAAGTTCTAATTATATTAATCAGTTGCCAAGTCTGTCATTTCTTACCTTTGAAAGATTTGTAACAAGGCAATAGTCAGAAGCAAAATGCTTTTGAGGATGGACAGGGTGAAATGAGAGAGAAGGATAAAAAGGGAAGAAATAGGAGGAAAACACACTAATCATAACTGAAAATATTTTTTACAGCAAGTTTATCTGATAAAGGCCTCATTTTTAATATAAAGAACTGAGTCAAATTTATAAGAATACAATTCATTCCCCAATTGATAAATGGTCAAAGCATATGAACAGGCAGTTCTCAGAAGAAAGAATCAAAGCTATCTATAGTCATATGAGAAAATGTTCTAAATCACTACTGATTAGAGAAATGCAAATTAAAACTCTGAGGTACCAATCTATCAGATTGGCTAATATGACAAATATTGGAGGGGATGTAGAAATATTGGGACACTAATGCATTGTTGGTGGTGTTGTGAACTGGTCCAACCAATCTGGAGCAATTTGGAACTGTGCCCAAAAGGCTATACAACTGTGTATTTGTGCCTTTGACCCAGAAACACCACTACCAGGTTTGTATCCCAAAGACATTAAAAAAAGGGAAAAGTGATCTTGGGCAAGTCACTTAACCCCAATTGCCAAAAAAAAACAAAAAAAGGGAAAAGGAACTATATGTACAAAAACATTTATAGCAACAATTTTTGTAGCAAAGAATTGGAAATTGAGGGAAAGCCCATCAATTGAGGAATGCCTGAACAAGCTGCATCACTGTAATGGAATACTATTGTGCATTAAGAAATGATGAGCAGGATGCTCTTAGAAAAGCCTGGAAAAACTTTCATGAATTAATGCAAAATGAGGTGAGCAGAATCAGAACACTGTACAGAGTAATAGCAATACTGTATGATGATCAACTGTGAATGAGCAGCAATGCAATGATCTAAGACAATTCCAAAGGATTTATGATGAAAAATGCTATCCATCTCCAGAAAACAAACTGATGGAGTCTGAAAGCAGATTGAAGCATATTTTTTAAAAGTATTATTTTAAAGTATTATTTTTAGGGGGCAGCTAGGTGGCGCAGTGGATAGAGCACTGGCCCTCGATTCAGGAGCACCTGAGTTCAAATCTGACCCCACTGCCTAGCCAAAAAAAGAAAGAAAAATAAAGTATTATTTTTATATATTTTAATATATTTTTATAAAGTATTAAAGTATCATTTTTCTTAAGGTTTTGTTTGTATTTTGTTTCATAAGGTGACTAATATGGAAATATGTTTTGTATGACGGCACACGTAAAACCTATATCAAATTGCTTGCCTTCTCAAGGACAGGGGAGGGGAGGAAGTGAAAGACAGAATTTGGTACTAGAAAAAATTTTAAAACAAATGGGAAAAAATTCTTTTTGCATTAAATTGGGAAAAAATAAAATATTAAATTTAAAAAACTGTAACATTTGTTGTCGTTTCCCTCCTTGAATCTCCCATTCCCACACCCCCAATTTCAACCCTCAACACTTTTCACTTGTAAACTATTACAATAGCTTCTTACTTTTACTAGTTTGCCCCTCCATCCTTTCTACTCCTGGCAAAGTAATTTTTGACAAAACAAATCATATTCTCCCTCAAAAACCTTCAGTGGCTTCCCATTCCCTATCAAGTAAAATATAAATTCTTTAGCATAGCATTTATTCTTGCTCCAACTTACCTAGTTTCTATCCAAATTTCCTGGTACTCCTTTTGAACACTTTATAATGCAGCCATTCATTGTTCTTAAGTGCCTTTCATTCTTCTGCCTCTATACTACAGCCTTTTTCCCAATCCCCAGGAAGAGAACAGAATCCTAGCCCTAGGACCACCTCATGAGTCATCTCCTGTCTAATCACATCAATTAGAAGTGATTCCTCCTCCCTGAATTTCTTATAACACTCCATTTAACATTGCCTTCATAACAATGTCTCATTCTCCTATTAAAATGAAAGCAAATACAAATCATGCCATTTTAAAAAACTTCCAAATGACCTAGGCCTAAGTCTGGGCCTAGATACGTAAATAGAAATTTCAGTCCTCTACTTAAAACTCTAGTAGCTTCCTATTATCTCTAGCTAAACTCTTCTGTTTAGCTTTTAAAACTCTTGATTAGTTTAGCTCTGGTCCCAAACTCTCTTTCCAACCTCATTGCACACTGCTCTCTCTCTTAAGTTCTTCCATCCAGCTAAATGACCTTCTCCCTATTCCTGACACATGAAATGACATCTCTCTGTCTCCAGGTCTTTGCAATGGCTGGCCCTTGTGCCTTAAATGCACTTCCTCCTCACCTGGGACACACAGAATCCCTTACACTCCAAAACACAGCTCAAGCACCATCTTCTACATCAAGTGTTTCCTGAATCCCTCAAATGTCAGTATGTTGTCTTACTACTTTATAGTAGACTACTTTATATTTCCTTAGTATATGCCTACATATACTAATCTCCTCTTTTAGAATCTAAGCCCCTAGGTGGTGCAGTGGATAGAGCTCTGGCCTTGAAGTCAGGAGGTTCTGAGTTCAAATCCGGCCTCAGACACATAACACTTACTAGCTGTGTGACCCTGGGCAAGTCACTTAACCCCGTTGCCTAAAAAAACCCAAACCAAACCAAACAAAACAAAAATGAAGGAGGGCTTCCTTCATTCTCTTTGTAACCCAGTGCCTGGCACATAGTAGGTACTTAATGAATCTGTGATCTCATTGATTTGAATGTTCACTCCAATCATGCATATCATAACTCATCCACAACTGCCCAATCTTGTGACTCTCATACCCATCCACACTCAATTTAAACACAGGTCTACCCTTAGAGCACCCTTCTTCACATTTAGAGCATCCCTGCTGAGCACACCTTCCTGTTTTATGCCTCATTTGATGTTTACGATCAAAGGGTCAGTGAAACAATTCTCTTAAGAAATCACAAACGATTCTGAAAGACAGGACAAACTTTGTGTGAAAAGATTTTTAAGGCAATTTTTTTTCTAGCAAAGCAAAAGCTTTTATGTTTAATATATTCTTTTAAAATTATGAACTTGACAAACACAA